ACGAGAAAACAACTGAGAAAAGAGACCTTGTCCGTGAGACAGAAGCCAGGATCATTCCCCCTGTAAGTTTAATCACCGGAAAAACGTCCAGCGTGCTTTCTAGAATTGAAAACAACAATAATTAAAATATATACATATATACTGGGGAAGGAATCTTTAAGAACTCACTCTATAAAGATTAGCCCATGTCCTACACTTTGCGTGAAAGCAGATACATTATTTTCGAGCACACCTTGTTTAGAGTAGATGGCAGTTTAAACGTTAGAATTGTCCGAACTAGGTAGGTCTATATCTAATGTGAGCGTGGAGGTTAGCGGGTCCCTTTAATGCAGGATTAAGCCCTAAGTAAATCTGCTTGGACTTTACCCTTTCTGCGTTTTCTTTTACAAATTCTTCTTATTTTGTAATTATCTCAGACCCCCCCAGCACGCGGTGGGAGGGAGAGAGTTAAGATGTCCTGCGAACCCTGCTCGTAAAGCTGCTTAGTTCCATTAGAAACACATGAATATCCTGAAATACAAAGTGTCTTTAAACGGACTCAGGAATGTTTATCTCAATAGCTGATGCTTTAGAAATTATGGAAGAAAGCAGCCGTGCCACTACTGCTCCGATATAACCTCCTGGCAGGTAAATTTAATTCGCTCATGAAAATCAAGCTCGATTAAGGATCTTGCTCCTACTATCGCTTTACCTCCGTGTCTTCCAAGACTTCTGCGTTGTGAAGGAAGGACATTATTAGTAGTAACTAAGATCACCCTCTAGCCCCTCTATTATCAGCTGAGATCTTTTAGAGGCTTTAGGGAGATTTGTATTCTCAGAAGTGAATCCCGATTATTATTTTTTTTTTCTTCATGCTCATTAACTAATTCTAAGCAGTGGAAGGGAAAGTTAGAGTGGATTTCCTTTCATTAGCCCTAAGTTTTCCTCTGTATTCGTACGATTTTGATTACCCTGTCAGAAATTATAGTTCCCCTCAGCAGARCATTGCTGCGGCAGTGCTCTTAAGGGGACACGTGTCTTATCACACAAAGGCGCGTTTTAAAGAAGCCTTATAGATATTTTATGCCGAAAACCTCTTTTTATTTATTTTTTTCTCCAAAACATGTAATTCCACTGAAAGTACTTTCTGTTTCTCTAACAAGAGAGAAGTTTAAAGGCCTCTTTAGAAAAATGAGTGGCCATATTCTCATCATATGGGAAGATTTACCAATCGTTTGTATATATTGGTTTAAGGCCAAAATCCGGCAGTCCTCGCTGTGGCAAGACTATCGTTGGCTTCATGGCGTTGTTAACACACAGTGTCTTGGTTCAAGGTTTTTACAAGGGCCAAATTCTGCCCTTGGCTACACCTGCGAGGGGGACAAAGTGTAGACAAGGGGAGAATATGGCACTGTAGGCTGCTCTGCATGTGTGAAATGGTCGTGGCTGCATGCTGAAGGAATTCAGCACCTTTTACAATTCTCCTACTGATAGTGGTTCTTCATTCTCCTGTCCCCTTGGAAATTAATAGTCGTTTTAGAGGAAACCATTTCACTCGTGAAAATCTTCAGTTCCCTCCAAGATAAAAGTCGCAGAATGGAACTTTTTGCAAATGTTGCCATTGAAGAAGTTTGCATCAAGCCTCTTGGAAAAAAAACTGTTGACGCTGGTAGTTGGGATAACCTAACTTTACTCATCAATAAGACGGGGGAAATGAAACGGAAGAAGATTTCGATTTGTTGTTGTTGTTGTTGTTTGTTTGTTTGTTCCATAAATTACAGCGATCAGTCATCAAATTAATTTTACCGAATTAGCCGTTTGTAAAGAACGGTCAAATCTAATTACTGGTTCAAATAAACTCTCACTAAGATTAAATTATTTTAGCGAACTTGTACTGGGAAAAATAAAATCTCACGAAGAAATGTGAGGGAATAGTATATATTCAAGGCGAAGCGGGGAGAATGGCTCAAACATATTTTTATCCCTGGTGTTGATTACAGGGTCCATGATTTTCGAATAACATCTGTTCTGCTCAATGCCTTCAGCCCTCACAGTTCCTTCCTAATACCGAAAGGCAGATAACCATTAAGCCAGGCGGGAATTACAGCCCCATAGCTGGAGAGCGAAAACTGACTATTGGAGGAAAATAAAAAATAATGATTTTTCCCCCTTCAATAACTAGTGGAAGGTCAGTCTTGGCAAATTYAGTACAGCAAAACAACAACATAATAACTGCATCCGATAATAACTTTTTTTCTGTCTCTCTTTCTCTTTGTGGGAATGAATGTGCCCCATGCRGATGTCATTTTCACTATTTTGAGAAAATACTACCATTACGCGACTCCCACCCACGTCACGGCAAACAAGGGAAGGGGGCAGTTGTATCGCTTCTCTTATCAGCGGCCAAAGGCTTGGTCCTCCTTCCTAATAACAAATACAGCTCTACAGTGGCAGAGATATATAGAGGGGAACAAAATGGAAAATAATAACAAAAAGAGAGATCTCTTTAATCTAATCTCTCCTCTCCCCTTTGCACACAGAGCTGGAGACCATCCAAGTGGGTAAACAAAACAAAAAAACAGCCACCAAGACGCAGCAGACCGGATGCCCCCCTCCTCCGCTCCCCCCTCGCCCCGGGTCTCCGAGCTGCATTGGAGCTCGGAGCTTCTCCCTGCGCATGGAAAAGGGCTTGGAAAAGCGAGGCGGAGGAGCGAGCCCGCTCCGCGGCCGGCGCGGAGCGGGGTCTGGGCCAGGGGGAGGGCTGGGGGGAGGACAGGCTCGCCGGGCAGATCGCTGCTCTCACGGCGAGTCCTTTTTAACAAATCGGATGGGTCTCGGAGCCGTGAATGACAGTTCGCACATTAGCTAGACGGCAACTTTCAACTTGACCTTGGCCTCTAGCCGTGTCTAACCCGCATGTAAAACGGCACTGCCCCATAGAGCTGCCTGCCCTTCCCCCCTTCTCTCCATTCCCCCCCCCCCCATCCTCCTGCCCCTCTGCAAAGGTGTTGTTTTTTTTTTTTTTTTTAAACAGCTCGAGAAACCAGAGGAAAACAAACCGATCCAAATGATGGCAGTCAAGCAATGTTTGACCGGGGGAATCCACAGGTTTCAAAACTGGAGCCTGAAAGAAAAGGGAAAATATGCGAGGAATAAATATTTGCTTTTGGCCATCAGGAAGAATGCGGAAAAGAGTAAGCAAAGTCAAAATGGAAACCGTTTATTGGCTACAATTAGGGAGAGAAAAAACAAAAGTTGCTAAAAGATTGCTAAATTACCCGAGGAACGAGAGCAACTTCACTTATCCCAACCAACAGCACGTAAAAATCACCTTGAAAAATGCACGGGCTCCCAAGGGCCACTTTCCAAGGCTGGCAGATGTGCTGCGGGCCACGGGCAAGGGAAAGCCCGSCCGTGACAAAGTACGTCCCGGGACGGCTCTGCGCTGGTAGCAACGCGGGCAAAACAATGCGACCACGTCAATGGGAAGCACAATAGTATAATAAATACGGCGAGCTGTCAGGCACGAAACAAAGCAACAGACAAGAGCAAAAAAAAAATAGCATTTTTTTTTTAAGATTAGTTTTCAGTATGGGAGAGTTGGGGATGTTTCGTCCACGGGCATTAGGGCTGGGAGTAGGTAAGGATGAAGCGACTGCAGTTTTAGGTCAAGTTTATGGATAGCTCGGTGAGAGCGGCTTTTGAGTTCAAGGTTGCGTGCAAATAATTGAATACTGGGAGGGGAACGCATCCGCGCCCGTGGAAAGGTCGGCGATTTTTTTCTCCCTTGAAAAATAACGGCATTTTATTAATGCAAAATATCTTTCCCCTCTCTTTCGCGTAGAGGTATGACCGCTAAAAATAATTTGTCAAAAAAAAAAGAAAAAAAAAAAAAAAGAAAAGAAAGAACAGTAAAATTGAATTATTTTCAGTCAAGAAGTCATCTTTCCCAGCGCAAAAGAGCATTGCGGGTCCATAGGCACACTGCTCAACCCTATGTGATATTTTACAGCCAAAGAAGATTCAAGCCGAATTGTAGGCCCCAGCTTTTATTATTACTGTAACAAATAATGCAGCGGAGTTACGATGGAGCTCGAGTTAACCCTCCCGTTCCCCGAGGCCGTCTTGGAAGAGCCAGGTTTCCAGCCACRCTTTTTATCTGACTTCTGCGGCTTTGTGGCTAGAGATGCGACCAGAGTCTTTGACTTTCGATGGACATTGAGAAACAAATAAATAAATAGGAAGAAATAAAGGAAGTAAGTACCCCTGGAGCCCTTGCTTCCAAACCCTTATCTGGTCCGGGTTGCGGCCCTGGGACGCGTTTCCGCCACGGTCTACGGCAAGGCCGGACTAGCAGCATCCCTGCGTGTCGGGCACCTGGACGGGGCGCCGTCAGCCCCCTCAGGCCCGGCGGGGCTCTGTGGACCGGGCTGCAGTCCTCAGGGAGGGAGAGAGGGAGGCGGCTGAGCCCGGCCGAGGTGCTGGGGTGCCCGCAGCGCTGACCGAAGCGAAGAGGGCCAAAATGAAGGCCAGCGAAGGGGCAAAGGGGGCCCCTCCCCACGGATGATATGGGGGTTGGGGGGGTGCACGCTGGACAAAGCAACAAAAAGGATTTAAAAAAAAAAAAAAAAAAAATCTGCCCACGCCTCGGCGAGCGGAGGGCGGGAAGGAGGAAGGGAAGGAGGAAGGCGGA